GTGGTCCCAAGCTAGCCCTGGTGGTCATGATTTGAACAAATTTGAATCTACACTATCTGAAGATGCCTCAATTCATAAAACTAATCATGACTTTGTTGCAATCTAGTTAAAATTAGATGTTAGTTCCGCTCGCATACTTGCTACACTAACGTTAGCGAGTATGCGAGCGGATCTAACATCTAATTTTAATTAGATTGGACTTTGTTGTTCTTGAGAAGATCTTTTTCTATATTCTTATGTGCAGCTTTGATTGCCTACTGTGGCCCCAATCTACCCCCAGGGTCATGAGTTGAACAAACTCTGGAGGATGCTTCCATATAAATATTACTAATCATGGCTTTGCTGTTCTCGAGAAGATCTATAATGATTTTTTCCTATATATATTCTTATGTAAAACTATGCTTGCCTATTGTGGCCCTGGCCTACCCCCAGGGGTTCATGATTTGCATAAAATTGAATCTGCATCACCTGAAGATGCTCCAACACAATTATGGCTAATCATGGCTTTGCTGTTCTTGAAAAGAAGATTTTTGAAGATTTTTTCCCTATATATTCCTAAGTAAAACTATCATTGGCCATTGTGCCCCCCCCCCACCCCTGGGGATCATGAATTAAACAAACTTGAATCTACACTACCTGAGGATGTTTTCACATAAATATGACAAATCATTGCTTAGCTGTTCTTGAGAAAATTTTTAAAGATTTTTTCCTATATATTCCTATAAAACTTTGATCAGCCATTGTGGTCCCACGCTGCCTCTAAGGGTCATGATTTAAACAAAGTTAAACCTAAACTATGTAATGAAACTTTCAAATAAGTTTCATCTTTTCTGGCCCATTGGTTCCTTAGAAAAATTTTGAAAGATGCCATTAAATTTTCACCAATTCTTAATTATCTCCCCTTGAAGGACAGCATGGCCCTCCATTATAACAAATGTGAATCTCCTTCACCCAAGGATGCTCTGTGCCCCATGGTTCTGAAGAGAAGAAGATGAAATTGTGAAAAGTTTATGACAAGGACAACAACAGCAACAACAGACTACAAGATAATTTTGATCAGAAAAGCTAACTTGAGCCTTTGTCTCGGGTGAGCTAAGAAAGGTAACCTTTGTTGGCAGTCAGTTTCCATGGAAAAGATACACTGTAGAAGAATGTCTAAGGTGCACAAACTCATCTCCTTCAGAAGATCAAAACTTTTTCCCCTCTCAGCATAATGCTCTAACTTTTGCTATGAAAGAGACTTGTTTTAAAACAAATTTTAGTTCAAACAAAAAAAGCTTAAGAATTAAGTGTATAATGTTATTCAATGTGAAATATGATGAGTTTATCATAAATATAATTGCAGAAAAATAATTCATTGTCATTACTACAGTACCATTCTTGCAAGCAGAAAAAAAACTATAAAGATATACATGTATATGTAAGCAGTAAAGTTTCATTCTAAACATAGATTTCTTCTATCCATCTAAAAAAAGTATCTGCCATTGTTGTTCATAAAATCAGTAACAGCATTTAGTTACCAGCAGTTGATCTGTGGCTTTGTTGTAGATGTGTATGTACGGTTTCAAGATCTTAAAATGGAAGGCAGGGGTTAAAAGTCGTCTGGCTCGGCTCCATCTCTGGCCATCTGCCAAAAGCAGACCCTCACCAAGCCATGGATAAACATGGCGGTATGCTCCTCCAAAGCCCATGGATTTGGAATCTATAGAAAATATACTTTGTCTAACAACTGCCTCTTCTAAAAATTTAGTAATGCTGAATTACAGGCTTAACACAAAGGTAAGTCCACAAATTCATAAAAACAGAGCTAAATTGTAGATGTGTATGTATGATTTTCTTTCTAGAGTTCGACAGAGTTTCTATCGCAGTTCACTTCCAATCAAAACTGGAAATTAATTTTACAGGTAAACTATTATATGTAGATAATTTAAGGGAATATTTTGATCTACAAAAAGAAATCACTACAGCAGTGCCAAGAAATTTAGAAAAGCAATCTTTACATGTATTAGTTTAGGATTTTCAAGTTAATATTGTAAATCATCAAGATTCAAGAATTAATTTGTACAATAATTCATCTGAAAAAAACAATTAAAACAAAAGAGTTGATCCTATACTCTTATGTAAATCAACAATATTTGAAAAAACAGTTGCATTTCATGTAAGGCATTAGAACCTCAAAAATCCCTTTAAACATGTTCAAAACTATGTCTGGTTAAAAACCTTAATGTCATTTAGTCATCATTATTGGTTTAAATGTATATGTTTTAAACATCTTTTCACCATAAACCATGGACAATACCAAAACTACACCAAGCAATGTATTTAATAGCGCATCTACACACACACTTGCACATATGACATGTGAATTCTTTCTTAGCTTGAAAGTTTTACCAATATTCACTTACCTTGACTTGTATTCATATTGATTATTTTTAGAAAATTTCATTAAATGTTAAAACATGTATTAATTAACTTTTTACCTTCTCTTTACTTTATTATCCTTTTTGGGAAAAAAAGAAAACAATTTTTTTTATCATCTTCAATGTATGACATCTAACTTGATTTATTCAAAGAGTTAATAGAATGTACTATAAAGTCTAACATTTCCGAACAATGATATTAAAATGCATATAACAACATATACTAGTAAACCAATGTTTAAACAATGACCTGCATATTTTAGAACTTGTTTGATCGTCTCAGGATGGTTCAAAACAATTGTTGCATTAAATGGTCCAATCCAGAACTTGTACATTCTTGGGAATTTAGCTGTCAGCTCACTTCCAAGTTTCAGCTGGTCAGAATGTTTTTCTGTCAGCTTGAAAATGAAGAAAAATAAGATTAATCCATAATAATATCAACTAGATATCATTGAGATGGTGAGCATCTCAAAGGGCCCTGCTTTTAGCAAAGGACATGAAAGACTGTAAGTTTCAACCAGATGGGGTCAATAGGAGAAAAAAATGCCCAAGAAAAAAAATTAACTCAATTTGCAGTAACCTCAACTTCACTGCACACCCTCTATACCCAAGGAAATTCTATGGGTAAAATTTAAGCCAGATAGGGCCAAGGGCAGAGAAAATATGCTCCAGATGAGGATTTTACACTGAAAGGTTTATTATCTTGACATTTCATTGAGAAAATTGGTTCAATGTCAGTGCACACCCCCTACCAAGGGCACTCTGTGGGTGAAGTGTGAGGTGTGAGCTCAACTAAGCTAAGGACAGGGTTAGAAACTCCCTAAAATTACAACTCGCAAATAATTGCGAGTACCAAGAAAGTGAACTCACAATTTTATAAGACTACTCGCAATTTTCATTTAAAGTTAAATTTATATAAATTAAATACATATAACTTAAGGAAAAAGTAACTACTATACAATACACAAAATACAACTACAGTGTGACTTTTATTTCAATTACTGATTTAAATCAAAAGCATTGTGTTCTGTCATATTATATATTTTTGCTACAGTTTCAATGCAAAAAAATCAACTCGCAATTTTTTACGAGTTACCTAATTTTTAACTCGCAATTTGGGAATTCTAACTCGCATTTTGCGAGTTGTATATAGTTAATTTGGAACCCTGAAGGAGAAAGGAAATAAGCTCCTGAAAAAGATTTTTCAACCTTAACCAACAGGTCAGGGTACCCTAGTGGTAGGGCTTTCACTTCTTGATTGGGAGACCCGAGTTAGATTCTCGTTCAGTGAGCCAAACTTAAGACGTAAACATAGGTAGTGACTGTTCCTTTGCCAAGCACCTAAGACTAAAAGTGAAAGTCGTGGGTCTTTTGAACTGAGGTCCTGTGTCATGGTAGGCTTGGCAAGATAAAAACCCTCACTGCGCAATGGCCCCGATAGCCAAGCATAAAGAGTGTCACTGCACACCTTCTTACCAACTGGGCACTCTATGGATGAAGTAGAGCTCAACTGGGCCAAGGACAGAGAAAGCATGCTCCAGAAAAGGACTTTACTAATACAGGTATTTCAACCTTGACCTTTCATCCAGAAGATTACTTCAATGTCACTGCACAACCTCTTCTGGTACTCTTTGGGTGAAATATGAGCTGAAGTGGCCCAAGGAGAGAGAAAACGTGTCAGACAAGGATTTACACAGAGCTTATTTGACCTTGAACTTTCATCTAGAATATTGTTTCAAGGTCACTACACACCCTTACCAATGGGCATACTATGGGAGAAGTTTGAGCTCAACTGGGCCAAGGGGATAGAAAATATGCCCTGGACAAATGAAATTGGATGAACAGACATATGGCCAGATTGATCATCAGCAGAGTGGGGTCCTAAGAGAAGAAAAAAAAATGACTTGCAGTATTCAGAGAATGTCATACCAGAGAGGTACAGATCCACCTACTGAAGAAACCTTTTACAGCAACACATTTGTTGCAAGCTTTGGGTATTACAATTTTTACTAGTAGTAAGTATTACATATGCATTCCTCCAAACTACAGCAAGGTATCTGTCAATATTTAAACATATGTTTTACTACTACTTCTTCATTTCATTTCCCTTTCAATGTCTCTGAATAGCTCAGAGTCTGAAGCCTTGAAACCTTGAAATGCCAGAGTTTCTGCCTCATATTACACTAGAGAACATAACCCCTGCTAGCATTTCACATTTTTACTTTCACAACAATTGCTGTCTGGCACCATAGAAAGATAAATAAAGTAACAAAGTAGAAGTAAAATATGATACCATGCTAAAGCCAAGGTAGGGGAATGCTAGTTAGAATAACTTAATTTAGTCCGAAATATCTGACGTTTTCCAGGCTTTTTTCACGATTTTGATATTTTACGTGCCAGGAAAACGTCAGAACCGGCGCCATTACGAAAACTGGCAATTTCACCGTCTCTGACCGGAGCTGATTTTCAATACTTAAGAACTGAATTAAATGTCGAACTTACAATTTATCAGTAACACAATGCTTCTAGTACTCACTAATATCAATGAAAAGAAAATATCACTCTACATTTCGATTTGGTCTTGCAAAATTTTAAAATGGACGAAATGTAAAGAAAACTAATAAAATGTTTTCACAAGATTGTATATTTCATAACAAACCCATATAAACGATGCTGGTGAGTACTAAAGGCATTGCATTATTGATAAGATGTGAATTCAGCATTCAATTCGGTTCGCAAGTATCGAAAATCAACCCGAGAATGCCGCCTCCAGTTGGAGGCGGCGAATTTCCAGTTTTTGTAATGGCGCCGGTTCTGACGTTTTTCTGGCAAGTAAAATATCAAAATTGTGAAAAAAGCCTGGAAAACGTCAGACATTTCGGACTAAACCTAATTGTGCCTCAGTCACCATAGGAACATATCATTTTAACAATAGACTTATCTAGGGGAATACATATTTTGCAAGAAATATTATCTGAAGCAAAAAAGAAATAAAAGGTTTAATTAAAGGATGGATCTGTAGCTCTGTGGTATGTGTTTTCCAATTTCTACAGTTCTGCAGCAAATATGAATGAAGTAAAGAGTAACAATATATCATACCAGATGTAAATTTCCATAAAGCCAATGTGTATTCTCTGGACCCGGGATCTGTTTCATCATTTTCGTGTAAAGTCGGTACCACAAACAGAAATTAATTAGTTTCTTTATGAGTACCATCAACATTAAAGATGTTATCATAATAAGAAGAGTTTTGGCGTTGATGGCATCAATTTTTGTCCATTTCAACAAGTTCATTATTGAAGAAACAGTGTTGTTTAATGACGACATCGTTGACCCTATCTTCTCTGACTTCTGTACCTAAAAACTTTTTTTCTTCTTTTCATGTTTGTTGTCTTTGTTCTATTTTCATTTTCGGTTTCAAATAAGATAAACAGTACTTAAAATGACTCGTGTGAGATGAAATATCATTTCATTTGCTCTAGGTACAATAAATAATACCAGGGACGTATATACAGCCTTGATAATACATGCTTTGCAAAAAAAGAAAAACAAATCACAAAATATAATTAAAAAATTGAAAGTATTCCTAAGTAATAACTTTTACGGGAAAAAATATTCTCTACGGAATGAATAGGAGCATAGCGTGATCCATTATCATCCGGCTTATATTTTCATCATCAGAAAATCAAGTTGTCCTGCAGTACAGGCGAATAATCATGTGAAGTGCAAAAACAGAGGTTTGCGGTAAAATGTCCACGAAAGAAGACGATCTAAGTAGGATAAGCAAACTTTTCTCCCCTGTTCGATTGAACAGTATGTGTAGTATAGTTTGTTTTTAGTTATTGTGTAGCATGTTTGAAAAATCATAAAAAAAATAAATACTGAACGTCGAGTTCTGAGTTACTGTCAGGAAATTCACTCATGCATGTAAATTACTCAAACACAAAGAAATCAGTATAAAAGCATGTCGTGTAAGGAGACGTTCTTTTATGCTGTCTTCTTGGTATTAGAGTACGTTTCATGCACCAGTGAACACAATGACCACAACTCATAATTCGACTTTTAAATTTGATTTTTTAAGATTTTTTTTTTGTATTTTCATTACATAAAATACCTTGATCAAGATATTTGTAATACCTTGTTAAAGCTATATAGCTTTATCAAGCTATATACCTTTATTAGGGTATTGTGCTGGACCTGGCAAACATATGTCAGAGTCTGAGATAGAAAGAGAGTTGAACAATCACAGCTGGAGATTTAAAAATTTTCAGCTGGAGTTTGGGTCTATAAATTGGATATTTTCTAACTGACATTTTTCAAATCGCTAAGGACCATCCTACTCCCTAAATTAAGAAAGAATTAACTTCTCTCTGACATCAGTATTAGATAAAAAATTTCAAATCTTGAAAACTTAACCCTCTTACAGTTTATCACGCTAAAAAATTTTATTTTACAACATTGTTTTCTACTAGTATTTATTCAGGGTTCTCACTAGGATTTTGCTAACTTGAGTCCCAGGACTCAAGATTTCTGAGAAGGTTGCGACCCAGCTAAATTTGATGTGTCCCCCCCCAAAAATATGTCGAGTTCCAAATGAATTATTGCAGTATCCTTCCATCCAAACATCAAAAAAAAATCTTTAGTATTTTAAGTTTGTTTACGCAGTATTAACATATTCAAATATGTAAACTGGGAATGCATCCAAGCTATATTCTAAAATACACACGTAATCAATTGCCATAAAAATAAAGTTGGTGTTTATAAAGCTAAAATTAACTGTTACAAAATCAATTAGTACATAACCCCCTAAAGTTGACTGTATTAAGAATCACAGGTGTCATGAGCAATGAGGCGTAACTAATCCTGTCGGTGGTCTGCACTGTGTAATTCACGAGATAATCAAGCCATATTGTGTATACAAGCCGTAATTATGGCTTCTAGATAAAACTCAAGTGTTTTTAAAAAGAAGCTGCAGTGTGTAACTAACAGGTATCAGAGTTAGGCATGCGACACTATTATGAATAAACATGAAATATCTTATAATCAATCCCTGTTTTAAAAAAATAGAAATAGGTACAAGAAAAGTTGTTTCTTGGATAAACTTTATGATAGCTACAGGAAGGTTTCTAATAAATATTTCTTTGACAAATCCTAACATCTAAAATCTCCGGTTTTCGAAAGCACCCGAATTTTCTCGCTGACGAGGACGCGTCTACTCATGAGTCAGCGGATGCATTGTTTTTAAGAACCTTGCATCCCAAATAATTTTGCTGCGTCTAGGACGCAGATTCTTGCATTAATGAGAATCCTGTTTATTAGTGAGTGTAGTGAGCAACGCAAAGTGCTGCTCATCACTGTGAGCTATTAAAGCATTGCTTGGATGAAGAGAAAATTCTGACTGTCTGTACATTAATCCAATAAAACTTTATTCTACAGTACACTTATATCCATAATGCTCCATAAACTGCATGTGGTGCCTGAACAAATTCTCACAATAACCTAGCTAGCGATTACCAAACAAAAGTTTACAGATAAAAAAAATAAACTAACCTTGCATATGATTTAAAAATATTGCAGATAGATGGTAGATTTAAAATTCTTTGTTAAAAAATTGTACATTTCAGACTGTTATGGAAATATGCAACTAACAACGTCATGACGTCACAGTCTTCCAAATGTCCAAACTACCCTCACCCAAACAATCGCACCATCAACATATTTAAAAAAAAATTGGTGAAAGTGTTTTTAATCAAATGAAGTGAAATTTATTATTCAAAATTAATTAGCTAATTTAAATTTAAAAAAAAAAAAGAAAGGTCCATGGGCCACACAGTCACCTGAGTGACTATAGCCCTGCTGTTCTTCATCAGCAGATCCCCCCCCCCCCCCCCCAAATATTCAATTTTGATCACATTGTGGCTCCCCCCTAACCCATGGGGTCTTGATTTGAGAAAACTTGAATCTATATTACCAAAGGATGCTTCCATATAAATAAGACTAATTATGGCTCTGCTGTTCTTGAAAAGTAAATTTTTAAAGATTTTGCTTATTAAATCCTATGTAAAATTTTGATTGCCCATTGTGGCCCCACCCTACCCCCAGGGGTCATCATTTGAATAAACTTGAATCTACACTCCTTAAGAATGCTTACATATCAATATGACTAATCATTACTTTGTTGTTCTTGAGAAGGTTTTTAAATATTTCCCTAGATATGTTCCTATGTAATACTTTGATCCTCTATTGTAGCCCCATCCTATCCCCAGGGGTCATGTTTGAAAAAACTTAAATCTACATTATCTAATAAGTTTCATTTTTTCTGGCCCAGTGGTTCTTGAGAAGTGAAATATGAAGATAATAACTAGGGATGTCAAAATATTTATTTTCCTTCGTCGATTATTCGATTGCATTATTCGAACGATAGTCGAATATTCGGAACATTTTCTGAAAAAAAAATATCTTCAAACTTCACTGCTACATGACGTATTTATAACTCAAAAACCCTTTTACTTAAATATATTTAAAAAGTACCATCAAAAGTAATACAACGTAACGCGTGGATAGCATGATTATATGAAATAAATTAAGAAACCTAATTCTCCAAAATGTATGATTTCAGCAGAAATCAGTAATCGGTCTGTACAGTCATGCAGTCATTTTTTATTTTAGTAAGCATTAAAAAATTGACAGCCGATATTTTTTAAAGCTTATTTTGAAATAAATGGGGGGGAGGGGGGTTAACCTCACACTTTTTACACGTCAGGTGCCTATGAAATTGTTAAACAGTTAGATACTACTTATTCAATTATATCAAAATGTCCTTAAAAAGTTTAAAATGTAAGCGAATTGTTTTAATAATAATTGTAATAATTATCGAAGTGTCGAAACATGTCACAGCTATGGTTTGTACCTTGCATTTGAGCAATCTTAAGATAACAAAAGATAATTGGTACATGGTATAAGTCCATTTAATATTCTTACAAACAAAGCCCAGTATATTAGTAATTTATTACAAAAACAACACAGGCCGTTACTGGCAAATACTTCTCGCATTAGTGAAGCACTTATAAGTACATAACAGTATTTCTATACGTGCAGGGAAAATCAACCGCTTTTTTTTGTTTAGAAAAATTATCTTATCGCTATCTCTGAGGAAAGACATTTTCTCAGTTTTGTGATGAGAATTCCATCTTGTTATTACTCATTTATTGCATTTATTGCTAGCGCTCGAGAACGCTAGCAACTACGTTAGTCTATATTTCTGAAATACGCATGCTCGACTTCACGGGCATTCTGGGAAAACTACTGTAGATAGACTGTACGATAACAATTTCGTTTTGTCATACAAAAATAGAAATGATCCGAATTTACACTGGCCTTTCCTGTCTGATATGCGCGATATACATTTCGTAGGTTAGAGACAGTCAAAACCAGTCTAGATCCGGATTCTCAATTTTTTTTTTTAATTTATTGTCTAACCTACACATAAAAGTACAAGAAAAAATTTGGCCATATAATGCCAAGATTCTAGACATCTAGCTTTCCTTACAGTTTTACCATCTTAGTGGATAATTCCGGCAAGCTCGGAAAAAACAACAACAAAAACAAAAATCTTTTTCAGAGTATGTCGGAAAGACATGGCAATTTAGTGTTTATCATCTGAAAATACATATGATCTGAAGGTTCTGTTGTCTAACCTGCACGTAAATGAACAAAAAGTAACAGTAACCCGGGTCTTATAAAAGCAAGACTGTTATTTCTAAAGTTGTAATGAATACATAGCTTTTCTAATCTACCTTCATAGATCTTTCCGGCAAGCTCGAAAAACCGCGGCAACCTCGGATATGTTTTCCGAGCTTGCCGTTTATTTTTCACCTCGAAATTGAAATTACAGTAAAATACAGAATGCTTAAAGCACAGTTAGGAGTTGTGCCATTGCCGACGTGAAGCACACTCTTAGATCCACCATTCTGAATTGTGACACCCCCCCCCCCCCCCCCCCACACACACAAACTCAACCACCAATCTGCCTTCCTATTAATAATTAATCGATTCAGCAAATTTAACAAATGGTTGGGATATCTTCTTCTGTATTTTATTATGCTACAGAGCTAGCTCACCAATCTTTTTAAAAGATAAGCTTGTTTAATTATAATAATATTCGAATGTCGTTTCATTATTCGATCGTCGGTCCATTCGACTGATGGTCGAATAGTCGACTATTCGTTGACATCCCTAATAATAACGAATAGTTTTCAATCTTGAAAGTCCAATGAAATGATACAAATTTGATTTATTGAAAAATGTCATTAAATTTTAACTTATTCTTTATTATCTCCCCTTGAAAGAGGATATGACCCTTCATTTGAACAAATTTGAATTCCTTTTACCAAAGAGTGCTTTGTGGTAATTTTTTTTAAACCGGCCCAGTGATTGTTGAGTAGGTGTTTACTGAAGGATGGATGGATGCAAGACAAATTGTGATCAGAAAACCTCTTGAGCTTTTAGCTAAGGGGAGCTAAAATGTGTTAAAATTTAATCCTGTTTATATCAACTTCTTAGTAAAGTAAAACTTAGATTTGATCTACAAATTATAATGTCAGTAATTTGTTTTGAATGGAAATGTTAATTGTCACTTTCAGATGTAGTAAAATCTAACAAGACTGCAAATCTGACAGGGAATGAGAGACAGATTAAAGATGGATGTGCTGATATACACAATGCCATACAGAAATGGACAAAGACTAATCGAGATGGAACAGAAACCATAACAGAAATAGCAAATATCAGAATTTCTCATATGTAAGCATATACACACATATATAAAGGGGGAAAATCAATATTCCAAACATATATACCTTAGCACTAGTGAAGGACTGTAGAACTATTTTATATCCTCAGTTCTTGTCATCTGCAGTGGCATATTTGATTGAGACAACCCAAGTTGGATAAGATTGGCAATGAATGATGTTATTTATTTGCTTTCATTTAATATGAATGGAGTGTCTGTTCCCATTCTGGGGCAACCCTTAAGGTTATATTAAATCTCTAAATAATAAGCTTATTTCATCACATTATCCTCAGTCATTCACTTTTTAGAAATGCCATTGGTTAGTTTAAGTTTACTCTGATTTTCTCAAAAAATGATCAGTTGAACACTAGCTGACATTCAGATTGATTTACAGCTTCACAACTGTAAAATTTTAGTATTTATCATGTTTATGTCAGTTGAATAATTGCCAGTTTTGTAGGAACTCTTTCATGTTGGATACACATTAAGCCTTATATGGTTTTGAGGCAATAGCATAAGGATAGATACATTGAAGTTCAAGATCTCAAAACAGTGGATTTCCTCGGGAAAAAGAGACATGAGATAGGGGAATGTTAGCAAAAATCACTATAATCAAGTTGTGAGTGTTATATGCGGTTGACAATATTTGTCTAGCTAATTGTGTGCAAAATTTCCAAATTTCTAGCAAGAAATATTGTTTAAATAATGCCAACTCATAGTTAAGCAATAAACAAACAATCTGTCAAGATTTGAACTGTATAAAACTTTCTTCAAGGTACCGCTGAGGTTCCAATTAGTTAAGTACAGTGTTGATGGGGGCTGGGGGCAAAGCTGCTGTAAGTTTCTGACAATCAGCAATTCAAGAACCTTATTTTTACGCATAAATGACTGTAATTCTACCTTTACTACATCGATGTATGACATTGAAAAACTGAGAATTACATCTGAATTAATTTTTGCTTTGTTTTAGAGGGGGCGTGTGCCAGGAGCACCCCCACCTGAATCAGTACCTGTCATAGCAACCATAAACTCTTGAATAGGGAGCATTTTTAGAGGACTAGCAAATTTTTTATGGATGTAATTGTTGGTTGAAGAAATGGTTAGCTTGTAATTTTGTGGATTATTTCAAATTAATATACTTGGACAAATGGACTTGAAATGGTTCAGAACTAAATGGAATTAATCAATGTAAACATGAAACTAAAACATAAATTGTTAAAAAAAAAAAAAAGATAGGAAAGGATTGATTTTTTAACAAGCCTTGTGGTAATTTAAAACTGATATTTATAGGGAATTCCATGTCAATTCCAATTTAATAACTGCTGCTTAATTGTTCTCTTTTCAGCTTGATACTCTTCAAACTTCAGTACATTTTATTTCAGAGTGACCATATTATTGTTATAGTTTAGGAGAAGAATCAAAACAGATCATTTAAAGGATACTTTCATTTCATTCATTGTAAGAAAATAAGGATTAAAGGAAAAATAGTACAGCAAAAGTGGAAGCAAAATAAAAAAAAAAGAAATGCATCAGAGTATTTTATTTTTTTTAAGATTACAATCTGAGGAAGAAAATACAGAGAAACCTGATAATTCACATGACATTCTGAAGTTAGAGTCTCTTTGTGAAAACATGCAGAGCTGTGTGCAAAAATTGGTATGATTGAAATCAAAATACAACATTTTTCATTTTATAATGATTTACTTTTTATGAGTCTAGACACTTTTATGAGTCTTAGACACCTCAAATTTGAGGCTTGCATCAATGTTTCTTACTACTTCATGTTACATGATTTAAGTCAGTTTTACAGGAACTACTATATATTTCATATTTCACAAATATTAATACATTTAATTTATCCTTATGTAGAAAAAAGTAGTTTTAAAGATTGATACAGTTGCAGCAAAGTTTCAAGGAGTTCAGACGCTGTCACAATATAAGAATGATTCAGAAGTGTTGTTCCAAACTTGGTCCACAAAAGACTTTGGCAAGTGGTTAAATTATCAAAGACAAGAAACCTTTCATTTGTAAAATATTCCTTATACATTCTTGATTTGTGTTATTTTTAAACAGCACAAGGAAACTTGAATGTTCACTGTATGTTTACATGTATATTAATAGCATTAACTACCCTGCATTTATAAATAGCTTTCTTTTATTTCAGCATCAGCTGCCAAAGAATTATCCACTATGTATCAGAAAGAGTTGGAAGTTAAGCAGTCTATCTACGAAAATGTCTGTCATGCTGTCAGTAGAGATTCTGTCATGTTCTATACATCTGCCTGGGTACACCAGCCTTATATTGAGGAAAGGGCAGATATTCTGCTGCAGAGCATGCTCACTGAGACAGGTCATCAGACGTGAATGAACCAATGAAAATGCCTGTTTCTGAATGGTATGGCCTGCTCACAGATGAAAAAATAAAGGAGGACAATAATTCCAAGGAGTTTCATTGTGATCAGCATTTTTAACCTCTAAACATTTCAACATTGTTAAAAATGAGCTGGAAAGAAAAATCCTAGTAAAGAAATCAACAGTTCATATGTAGACTTGCAAAAAAGAATAGTGACAATTTATTGCTTTCAAAGAATGAAAATTGTAATGGAGGACCGGAGAAAAATATTAGTGAATGATATTGACAGTAGTGCATGAATCAGAATAAAATGCACCTGGCATAGATCGCCAGCTATAAGTTGCCTTTTTTTTTTTATTTGATTCCAGTAATGAATTCATATATATACTAGTACTATATGTACGTCTGTAAGATGGTGAAATAGTGCTGCATGTAGCATTTATATTTTTGTTAGCTTACCCAAATCAAGAGCCTCTTATTGAAGTTTTGGCATATCTTTCACATTCTGATCCTCTTTTGTAGTGTCACAGAGCCATTTTCAACAGTATAACATGTATTGTGCATCCCCATGGATTGTCCAAATCATGGCTTCTGGTATCAACTTTGTTACAATAGGGAAACAAGTTGTTCAGTAGAAAGATGTGACAATTGGGTTAATCTTCAAAACATCTTCCTAACAAGATTAGCAGGGTAAAACTTATATTGTTTTGTATTAAAAAAACCCTCTAGAAACCATTGCCCAATTATGTGCAAGTAACAAACATAAATAAAGTCTGTGAAACATTCAGGAACCAGTTGGAAACAGTGCAGATAAAGCAATTACAAGAAGATGGGTGAACAAGGCATGCAAAATTCCAATAGCTTCAAATATATACATGTTATAAATGTATAAAAAAAAATCAAAAGTTGTGAACTTAGTATATAGAGCAAAGTTTTAATTATTGAAAGGTTTAAGATTATGACAAAACTTTTCTGAGGAAATATTCTATCAACAAAAACTATTTCATGGTAAAAAAAAAAATCATAAGACATTAACAACCACACTTATGTGTTTGCCTCTATATATGTACTCACCTTCATATCTGGGAATCGAGGGAAGAAGCCATAATAATTCTATAATTTACATAAAAGTCAGTTTTTGACACCCAATTGCCCCATGGTGAAAATCGAAATTCTGACACCATAAATGCACATCTACACTCCCAGACTTATTCCAAAATAAGATTGGGCTTCTGTGAAAAATGTAAGAGGAGATCAGGGAACCATGTTTTTGTTTAAAAAAAAACAAAACATTTTTGACTGCTGTTTAGCACCCACAGTGAAAATAAAAATTCTAGACTTTATTGCACATCAACAGGACACCATCAATCACCATCCAAAAGACGATTTGGCTATTGCCAAAAATGTACGAGAGGTACGTAAAGGAAACCAGGTTTTTGTAGAAAAACTTCTTTTCCCGAACCCCCCCCCCCCCCCCCGCTAATCATTCCCAAAGGTGAAAGATTCGAAACTTTATTGCACATTTACAGGACACTCTCCGTTTATATATATATATATATATATATATATATATATATATATATATATATATATATATATATATATATCAAAATATGAATGGGCTACTGCAAAAAAATGTAAGAGGAGTTTAGAGAACTAGATCTTGGTACAAAAATGACACTTTTTGACCCCAGTCGCACCAGGTGATAATTGAAATTTTAAACCTTATTGCATATATACAGATTATTCGCAATCATGTTCCAAAATATGAATGGACTACTGCGTAAAATACAGAGAAGTTCTAGGAACCAAGTTTTGTATTTAACAAAAACAAACAAACAAAATCTTTTTTTTTTTACCCTAATTCGCCCCTAGTGTAGCAATCAAAATTCCGAAACCTTATTGCACATCTACAGTAGACTCTCAATCACATTCCAAAATATGAATGGGGTACTGCGAAAATGTAAGAAGAGTCCTAAGTTTTTGCTTAAAATTATTTTTTTAAAAACCGTCGTTTTTTTTGTTTTTTTTTTTGTTTTTGTTTGTTTGTTGTTGTTTTTTTGACTCCCAATCGCCCCCTGGGTGACAAACAAAATACCGAAACCTAATTGAACATCTACAGTAAACTCTCGATCATATTCCAAAATATGAATGCTACAGTGAAAAATGTAAGAGGAGTTCAGGGAACCAGGTTTTTGAATTTTTAACCCCCATTTGGCCCCTAGGGTGAAAATAAAAATGATGTAAGAAAAGTTTGAGGAAGAAGATAGAGTGACAGCCGAAGGACCGACCAGGATAACAACTATATATACCAGGACATTCTTTAGAAAATACGGTTATCAAAGTCTCTGGTAGCGGCATTTAAATCGTGTTTGTTGTATTAACCTTGAATTCAAATACTTCTCGGACTGATACGAATTTTGTGTCATAAAAGTGTAATTTTAAGGTAGTGTGGGTCATTGCTCCATGTTTTTGTTAATGCGCAAAATAATGTAGGTTTTAAACATACTTTGAAGATATTTTTAAAAATGGAACAAAGGCACACGCATATGGAAAAATTGTGATGTAATACCAAGAATGGTTTTTTTTTTTTTTTTTGCCCTCTTTGGTGCCTGCATGCTATTTCATAGACGTGTGAGATTAATGCAAATAGTGGAGATTTTACATAAAGTATACATTGATGTCAATTGAAATTGCAAAGAAAATTACGTTAGAATTTCACTCTTATTGGCATTTTCTCGGCTTGTTTACAATCTCCTTTTCATAGCACAAAATAACACGCGACCATCTTGATGAAAAAAAAAATTTGCTTGCCCTCTCCCGATTCATAATTTTAAAAAAAATGGGCAAATAGCTAGGGGAATTTTTTTTATTCAGAAAGTAAACACTTGTGAATATGAAGTTAAAATAGATATTAATGTGATAAGAAAACTCCGGAATGAATTTAACAAAAAGGAATTGTTTCCTGGAGTTTAAAGAAAAGTTTTGAGTCGGGTCGTTTTTATTCAGTCAGTCGGAAGAGGGCAAACAAACAATATCTGAAAGATGGCCCGAAAAAGAATATTATTACCTTTGCAATTCTTATTTCAAGTGTCTGAATGTAATGTTTAGTATAAGACTTAGAATTGAATATCAGAGATTCCAATAAATATGATATTGTATATGGAGAGAGAGGACACGGGATTGGAATGACCTTAACCCAGATGATGCTGAACATTAATATGTCTCTTTGGAATGCCTGTTTAGCCAGTTCATTTAGTTTATAAATCACAAAAATTTAAAAAAAAAAAAAAAAAACAGTTGCAAACATGATCATGTGTAATAGAAATAGGAAAACTAGTACGTTTAGATGAATTGATTTGTAGAATTTGGATTACAGTTGGCACATAATAACTTGATTTTAAATAGGTAGATGTTTAATCATAAACCGTATATTTTACATCACTTATAATCCAAGTAAGATGTAGAAGGGAAAAAAATACTGAATTGCAATAAGAGATCAAGACGTAATAATTGATCAGGTAAAGTTACATCGACTACAAAAAAAAAAAAAAAAAAAATTCAGGTATAAAGCAGAAATATTTTGCTAAGGTGTGAGAGTGTACCGTTTTAGTTTTGAATCTGTTGTCGACATCTTTAAAGGAACGAAAGAGTGTAAAAAATCAGTTTTATTTTTTAATTATTAGAAAAAAATACTAGATAAAAGAAAATATTGCATTTCATTTTGGGTCATGAGTTAGAAAAGGTTTGCTAACAACTACACAGTGTTTAAAATCATTTGAGTGTTCTACACCGTGTCTAAACCACCATCAGCATTAGAGTGTATTAAAAAAATGCTGCACTTCGAAAATCTATTGAAAGTTAAGTAGATCATCAGAGACAGGGAAGAGGTTAGAGGTCAGGAGCATTCAAGCGAATCACCCACATATAATGTGGCAAATTGTACTGGAATAGACAGCAAAGGTAAATCTCTTTTCTTACAATTCTCTTTTGGTAGCCATTCGAGAATTTGTCTTGTTTTTAATTAACACTTTACATAATCTAAAACTTCTTGTTGTAAATAAAATTTAAAGGTTTCTCTCTCCTTCTGAAAGATTTTATGTTAGCGGTTTTACTTATGCATTTTTTAAGTGGTGTCCAATCACGCCAAGTAAATATTTCTTTTCTTCGGTACACCTTCCTCTTCTAAACCATTACAAATGTCCCACTCCCTAACGTACTTGGAGTGCAGCACCGTGCAAATGTGTAACTTGTTCATTCCTACGTATTTACTGGACGTGACTATGAATAATGTAAAATGACTCGTAATAAATGCATTTTGTTTTTAAAACTGAATTCATGTACATATAGGTATTCCATTTATTTTCATTATTTAGGTGACTTGATTATTAATTTTTCACAAGGCTTCGATACTTTATTTTTGAGAATGATCTCCATACTGGTAAAAATTGAATGGGATTTGGATTATTGATATTACTTCGTCATTAAAGGAGACCATAACTGTAGTTAAAGGAACCCCTACAATTGTATTTGAGACACTAAAAAGAATTGTGGACATTAAATAACCATCAATAGGACCTAATGTCAGCTGTATTTTCACCGAAACAGGTCAAGTGTGAAGTGTCAGAAAGCGAAAACACAGAAGCGTTCAAATTTGAACGTAAACGCGTTTAAGCAACAGTTTCAAAGAAATGTTTGTACTGACTTTAAACAAAGTAAACATTTTGTGTTGTAAGAAACAGTCTTTGTAAACTTCATAATTGTTGATGCATATATATAACTGATTTTTTTTTTTTTTTTTTTTTTTTTTTTGAAATACGCCATCTGGGTTTAGAATATTGGAAAATTTAAAACGATGGTTATTTATCAGATAATCAGCACTTCTCTGTGACCGATAAGCAAAACTAGAAAAGGTGCAAATGTTCTTAACATATCTGCATCTCGTGCATTTCAACATTCCTTTATACTGTATAGGAGTTTGTTTTGACAGCGTAGCCCGAGGACACCAACTCTCTCTCTCTCTCTCTTTATACATGTATATAAATATATTATTAATGTCCTAGTACAAAAGATGCACCACACTACTTTGCTAAATCGCTATATTCAGCAAATAGTTCACTTATGGAGGAGCTAATTCAAACCAATTAACATAATTTGAATTAATTAAATCTGCATTTTATGCTTTTATTTGACATATCTTTCAGTTAGAAATTCCATATTTCAAGATATTAATTTTGTAATTCCAATCACCCTCTTCTTTATTGTGGTTTTATCTTGTACCCGGAACAGTAGGCAAAGGTAATTTGAGTTTACTTGATACCACAGGCCTTTGGATCGCTTAAATCCGACTTTAAAAAATTGAGGTGCATAAAAAAAATATTTTTTAACTTTAACACCTTAATTTTTTTTTGAAGCGATCTAAGGGCCTGTGCTTGATACTAATTCAGAAATTTTATATGAGAGTTTCAACGTCTTATTTTGACCCTGCAGTACACACTAAATATGAGGATGTTGGCAAAATCAACAATGTATTTGGATAAAAAAAAAAAGCTTCCGACTCCTTTACGATTCCCATACTGATTCTATGTGCAATATTTAAAGATTGAAAGATGATTGCATATTAATTTGACGAAATGTAGCAACAATTGTTTCTTCCAGTTTTATATACAAAACTATTGACCGTAATTTACTAATATCCTAGTTTCAGATTGCTCGATTGAATAATAAAGTGAACATTTCCCTACAAAAGAAGAGTTATAATGTACACCTTTCTAATTATTTTTACTTATATATGGACATCACCAAATTCCGATGAAGGATTGCAAATTTAGACATGAACTAAACTCGGCACTTTTGGCTACTGAGCAGCGAGGTATCTTTTTACCAACTGCCACACAGGACCTTGTATCACATGGTTTCTTCCGAAGGACCGCAGTGGGATTCGAAACGCGACATAAAGAGATTCTGGCTGCTTTTGACATCACGTGCACAGAAAACTGCTTTTTCAATTAAAAAAAAAGGAACTCGTCTACAATCTTACTTTGTTGAAAATTCGTTCTGATTCCACTCACAAGGACTTGGAAACCCGAAGTGTGGACACCCCTTAATTAAACAAAAAATATTAGGAAATTATAATTTCTAAAAAAAAAAAAAAAGAAAAAAAAAGAAAAAAGAAAAGAAATTAATATTTCTCCGTCAATCACATCTACCATGGTACATTTCTTTTTATGCGAGCAGATTGTACTTTTTCTTACGTTTAGAGATTGGCCATGTACGGTATAATAAATACCGGTAGGTTAAAGAGATTAGACAGTATGAAAGGTAACACTGTATTACATGTACCTTGGAAATCAGCCTCGAAGCAGGACCCCCCCCCCCCGTTTGTTTACAAATTTTGTTTCTTACCTTGTGTTTTTTACTTATACCGTATATGACCATTCTCTAAATGTAAGAAAAAGTACAGTCTGCTCGTATTTAGAGCGAAATTTTAGAAATAAAACATGTATATTAGTATTTTTAGGTCACCTGAGTCACTCAGGTGACCTATTGCTATCCGTTCTCGTCCGTCGGCGTGTTTCGTGCGTTGACATTTGAACATTTTAGCTTCTTCTCTGAAACCGCTTAACCAATTTCAACCAAATTTAACATATAGCATCTATGGGTGAAGGGGAACAAAAATTGTGAATTTCATGGTCCCTGCCCCCTGGGGCCTGAGGGGTGGGGCTAAAACCACCAAAAATAATGCAATCTTTAAAAATCTTCTTCTTTACTCCTGGAAATCAAGCAGTCAAACTGTTGGCATCATTGTAATAAGCATTGAGCCTCTACCAAAATTGTGAAATTCATGGCCCCAGGGTCAGGGGTTCTGGCCCCAGGGTGGGGCTATATAGATCATATAGTGAAAGTGCATTATTTCTATTTACATAGTTATGATGAGCAAAAGTGCCTCTTCCAAAATTGTGAATTTCATGGCCCCTGGGTCAGGGGTTCCTGGTGTTAGGGCGGGGCTCTATTGACTATATAGTGAAAATGCATTAATTCTTTGAAAATCTTCTTCTCTGCTCCTGGGTATTAAATAAGGTAACTAAGTACATAGTTATGAAGAGCAAGAGTGCCTCTTCCAGAATTGTGAAATTCATGGCCCTTGGGTCAGGGGTTCTGGTGTTAGGGCGGGGCTCTATTAACTATATAGTGAAAATGCATTAATTCTTTGAAAATCTTCTCCTCTGCTCCTGGGTATCAATTAAAGTAACTAAGTACATAGTTATGATGAGCAAAAGTGCCTCTTCCAAAATTGTGAATTTCATGGCCCCAGGGTCAGGGGTTCTGGCCCATGGGTGGGGCTATATAGATCATATAGTGAAAGTACATTATTTTTTTGAAAATCTTCTTCTCTGCTCCTGGGTATTAAATAAGGTAACTAAGTGCATAGTTATGAAGAGCAAGAGTGCCTCTTCCAGAATTGTGAAAGCCATGGCCCCTGGGTCAGGGGTTCCTGGTGTTAGGGCGGGGCTCTATTAACTATATAGTGAAAATGCATTAATTCTTTGAAAATCTTCTCCTCTGCTCCTGGGTATCAATTAAAGTAACTAAGTACATAGTTATGATGAGCAAAAGTGCCTCTTCCAAAATTGTGAATTTCATGGCCCCAGGGTCAGGGGTTCTGGCCCATGGGTGGGGCTATATAGATCATATAGTGAAAGTGCATTATTTTTTTGAAAATCTTCTTCTCTGCTCCTGGGTATTAAATAAGGTAACTAAGTGCATAGTTATGAAGAGCAAGAGTGCCTCTTCCAGAATTGTGAAAGCCATGGCCCCTGGGTCAGGGGTTCCTGGTGTTAGGGCGGGGCTCTATTAACTATATAGTGAAAATGCATTAATTCTTTGAAAATCTTCTCCTCTGCTCCTGGGTATCAAATAAAGTAACTAAGTACATAGTTATGATGAGCAAGAGTGCCTCTTCCAAAATTGTGAATTTCATGGCCCCAGGGTCAGGGGTTCCGGCCCAAGGGTGGGGCTATATAGATCATATAGTGAAAGTGCATTATTTTTTTGAAAATCTTCTTCTCTGCTCCTGGGCATTAAGGTGATAAACTAAGTACATAGTTATGATGAGAAGGTGGGCCCCTTCCAGAATTGTGAAAGCCATGGCCCCTGGGTCAGGGGTTCTGGTGTTAGGGCGGGGCTCTATTGATTATATAGTGAAAATGCATTAATTCTTTGAAAATCTTCTTCTCTGCTCCTGGGTATTATTTAAACAAACTAAGTGCATGGTTATGATGCATAATGATGCCTTTTCAAAAATTGTGAATTTCATGGCCCCAGGGTCAGGGGTTCTGGTGTAAGTGTGGGGCTCTATTGATTATATTGTGAAAATGCATTGATTCTTTGAAAATCTTCTTCTCTGCTACTGGAGATTATTTAAACAAACTAAGTGCATGGTTATGATGCATAAGGATGCCTTTTTAAAAATTGTGAATTTCATGGCCCCAGGGTCAGGGGTTCTGGTGTTAGGGCGGGGCCCTATTGATTATATAGTGAAAATGCATTGATTCTATGAAAATCTTCTTCTTTGCTACTGGAGATTATTTAAACAAACTAAGTGCATGATTATGATAGGCAAGGATGCCTCTTCCAAAATTTTTAAATATATGGCCTCAGTTTTTGGGGTTCTTGAGGAGGGGGGAGGAGGGGGGCTCTATTGATTATATAGTGAAAATGCATTAATTCTATGAATTAATCATTAATTAACCATGTCTGCTCCTTAGTGTTGAGCTGATAAATAAATTGCTTAGCTATGATGAAAATGGGAGCTTCGAACAGAATTTTTAAATCTTGTGGTCCTAGGGTCAGGGGTTCTGGCATAACGAGGAGGGGGGGGGGCTTTTGATAATGTAGTGGAAAAGTGTTAATTCTTTGAAGTTATGATGATGAGGGTAACTCTTCCAAATTTGTAAATTTCTTGACCTTTGGTCTTGGGTTCTGGTGTTAGGGTAAGGCTTTGTTGAATCTGTAGTGAAAATGCATTGTACCTGTGAAATTCTTCTCTGCTTCTGGGCATATCGGAAGCAAACTGAGTAAAAGTTTAAATGATACAAGTAAGCGTATTTCTACCAGATTTTTGAACATCTGGACCATTTGTCTAAGCATTCTGGTCCTGGGCAGGGCTCTATTAATTTGTATTCTACTGAGAGAAGTTATTCCCCTTTTCCATTCACCTTTGATAATTAATCACTGTAAATAATGTATTTGAAAGGTTAATAGAATAAGATAATTATGCAAGAATGTTTATCGTATAATTCAAAAAGTACTTTCTTAGTTTTAATAATCAGGCAGACCTGTAAGTAATAGATAAATAAAAATGAGACAAAAATAAATTATCTTATTAAAAGTTCTTCAAAGAACATAAGAGAGGTCAATGCTAGAGGTCTTAATATGGGTTTGAAAATAGTACAGAAGCACTAAGAGTTTGTTAATAGTCTGCTTGGTGATAGTGTTAGGTGGGGGACAGATTAGAACATAAGTTATGAGTAGATACTGAATACTAGACTAATTATTTTGTTGATCCTGATCTTCCTACTTCTCTTGCTTTAGGGCAACAAAGCTTCATCTATCAGTGTATTTAACTTCTAAATTGTTGTATTATACTCAGGTGACCATTAAGGCCTCTTGTCTAATATCAAAGGGGGGGTTAACCACAATTTAGGTGCCTTCACTATGAAAATGAAATAAAAAGACGCTTGAATTCCTCATTGACAATATCTATGTAGTCTTTGGAGACCAGGTCTTCAAACAGTGTTAGATTTCCCATGTGTACTGATTATGCCCGTTTATTAGCGGACCTGGTTTTGTACTCTTATGAAGCAGAATTTATTAAAAAACTTACACAAGAAAAGAAGAAGTCTCTTTCTGTGGTCTTCAATTCGACATACATTTAGATACATCGACTGAAGTTTTATCAATTAAAAATATTTACTTTCATTCATACATGTACGTTGATTCGATATATCCCACTGAACTTGAAATAAAAGACACCATAAAAGTCTGACGGATTTGTTATGTATTTCTTATTTAAATAGACATTGGTGGCAAACTAACAACAACATTTATGATAACCGTGATGATTTCAACTTTTCTATTGGCAACTCTTATGAACATTCTCTGAACCGAGTCAGATAACTGACAAATAAGTTGATGTTATAAGGCTACGAACAAACTCGTTTACATTTCGCCAATTCTATGAATCGGTATTATAATCTTGTTTGTAATTGCAATCTCTCGTTAGGTCGAATGTTGACTGTCATATTTATTTTTACAATTGTAAGGTCATTACTTTCATACTGATTTGCTTACTGATTACCCTGTTTGTTCGATGAAGAAAGGGGGCTCACGGTGATTGACCGGTCGACAGGGGATGATTATGTCTCCAAGCACCTGATCCCACCTCTAGTGTTTTCAGAGGTCCAAATTTTCTCCATTTTCAATTTAAACTGTTTCATTTCATTGTTGAGTACTGTTCATGTCCTCACATTTTACTAACTCTGCGACTCTGCCAAATTGGATATTTTACTGACTGTAGACTTTAATGGCCAAGTACTGTAGATTCCTTATTTTTAGCGAGTACTTATTTTCGCGAAATGGCTCTTTTACGTAAAATCGCGAGAACAATAATTCGCTAGTGGACGGTTGATCGCGAGATTTTACTTTGATTTCAGCACCATAAAAATAAAAGCGAGTTCTTTTATTTCGCGAGTGGTGCTTCTCGCGTAATTACGCGAAAATTTATTTCTCGCGTATATTTAGGAATCTACAGTAACAACTAAACGGTATGACAAACGGGATGACTTCAGCTTTTCCATCGTCAACTTTCTATATTTATGTAACATTATTCCACAGTCACCTGCATATGGGGTCTCCCAACTGATACGAAGAGCATGTTCTGAGTACGATCAATTTTTTAAAACCGGGGCAGGTTACTAAATAATAAGTTGATGTTATAGGGGTTTCAACTATCTCGTTTAAAGTCAACATTTCTAATGTTCCATTTTGATTAGGATTTACTCTTTGTATTTGTATTACTGTTGTGTAGATATTAACTTGATTGTGCTTTCCTCTCTCCTGGATCCCGTTTGATCTGTCCTTCACCTTTTCCGACAAATACCTTACTTCTCAACTTTGCCTCTGTCAGGGGATAGTGTAAATCTTCCCCTAGTTTTTATGTTATCTCTGGAATTTCTATTAACCTCGTTATGGATGGGGTAGTTTCTATAGATGAGGGTGTTGTGTTTTACGAGTAGTTCTGAGTTTTTACATGCATGGCAAATTCACCCTCTGCCTATAGTAGTTTTGCTGTTAATGGCCCATGCTTACTGATTTTCAAATTTATGGTAGTTTGACCGAAAATGACTTAAAACTACCCATTTTTCAAATGGACGTCATTTTATGTCTTGACTTTTTAATGTGTTGTCTGTTGATTTCATCGGTTTTTTCGATGTCACTCTTGATGCTTTTTCCCCACCTTTCTTTCAGAATCATTTTTAGTTCCCATCTTAATCTTTTAACAATTTTTCTCGGTCTGTCTCTCATTTTATTGGGTTTTTATATGTGTGTGCGGCGTTTTTACCATGAGTGGTTCATCCCCTACTTCTTGCAAAAGGTCAAAGATCTCCATCAAGTTTGACTTGCCAAGACTGTTACAAATTGCCTATAGTGTTGGGAAAACTAGGATGTGTTTTAAAATATCGTCGGTCACTCATTTTCTTGCCCACACCCACCGTGCCTCGTATCCCCTCCAGTATTAGGGATACTAGTACCCACATCAGCTTGGCTGGTTGGTACAAATAGGGACTCAGCGTTTAGCGACTAATCTTAAAATAGGGCTTATCAATTTTAGACAGAAAGATATGAAAATTTAAAAATATATATACATGTATATACTAAAATCATAAAACAATTTGGATGGTTTGTTCTTTGGAATTAAAGAAATGTAGTATATTATTCAAACTAATATTATGGCAGTTGCATTTCTCCCTCTTTACAGAAGATGGAGAAAGGCGGTTCCCAAGGTGTTGTGAACCCGGCGTTTGAAGGCGTTGAAGTGGGGCAAGTGTCAGTGGTGGACAAAAATGGAAAGGTGAAAAGCTTGTAAATTACACTTACAAAATTAATCAGCTATTTTCATGAAGTATTTTCTTTTAATGATTTTCCGTTACTTATTAATTTTAACTTAATGAGGGAAAATTTTCTGGATTCATGTTATTGACCAAAATTTAATAGGAATTAATTTTAACACGAATTTTGCTGTAAATTTTTATATTTGATAACATAACTAAGCGTGATAGTAGTTGGAAGATGAATTCACTGAATTATATATAGAAACTGTTAGGAATCAAAAGCTTCAAGGATTTTTTTAAAAAATCCCGTATAAACTGTTTCATTGTCGTATTAACGGTAGATTATCTAGCGATTGATTACATGCCCTGAAGTGTGTTACAAATTTAATTGCCGAGAGGAAAATGTCATTCACTTACATGTGTTACTTGTGTTTACATAAATAAAAAAATAAACTTTACCAGTTTTACTTTTAATTTCACGATGCCAGAAAATACTATTAACACTTACCACTATGCCACCATTCATTTCAAACACTGTAAATTAGACATTAAACTGCGATGAGTTTGAATGATCGTATTTACACCTCTCTATTTTACTTTTTCGAACATTTAAAAACTTTTCCTTTAATTGAATTTACACAACACATACATGTATCGACCTAATAATTAGGCTGCCCATAGGGTAGTGATGGCAAACTTATCACCCTTTCGCAGAACAATCCGTAATTATTACTTAGATGTCAATTGTTTTGTCAAAGGTAGCTCATCTCTTGATTACTGATTTGACAAATCACTCAAGGGGTGTAAGGTTTATGATACAATTGTTCATTCTATAATCTGATCTTGGTGACATACACAGCATGTCTGTCGATTTTGGATGTGTTCAGTGTAGGAAACCTAAATTTTGGAGGGTAATTAACATTTTTTCCCCATTTTCCTCTCATTCTCTTGATTTAAAAAAAAGTATTAAAAATAACATTTAATATGTATGTTTTAGTCTTCAAGTTATGTTTTAGCTTCCAACAAAAGAAGACACGACTGACGCAGTGGACACAAGAATCGGATGGGGATCCTGCAAACCAAAGTAAGTATATACGTATTTGAATTATATTAAAGGTGCCAATTCTATTCCATGATACTGATGAAAAGATGCTCCTTTGGTTAAGGTAAGATGTCATCAAAATTATTCATTTTGTAAAGTAAAATTTAAAAAAGGAGCTCTATTGATTAAACTTCCTTTTAAGTTTTCTCCAGTTTTCAAAAATTATGGAAGTTATTAGAGATTACGTCCAATCCCCTAGACACATTGTCATTGAAAACAAAATTATGCATATAATAAATATATATAAAAAGGAACTTCCATGTAAGGACGAGATAAACGTTATCTTCTTATCTTCGCAGATGTTTGCAGTTTCTTAACAAGATGGTCCTATTCGTTCTGTGGGTCTTCATCTTATGTTTCCTGGAGGGGTTTGCTGTGAATGGTATTGCTAATGCAGGTCTACCCGCCATTGAGAAACACTTTAGTATTTCCTCCACCAAATCATCAGTTGTTGCCAGCTCGCAAGATTTTGGTGCCTTAGCGGTGGTTTTATTCGTCAGTTTTATCGGTGCCAGACTGCATAAACCCCGTTTTGTTGCCTGTGGGTCTGTGATAATGGCCATAGGTTCTTTTCTCTTCATTGTGCCACATCTGGTGCAAGAATATAAATTTGGAGGTGAGTGAAATTCGGTTTCAATGTTTTAGTAATTCATATTGCCAAATTGCTTGATGTAGAGTTGTTTGCACTAAAAATTTAAATCTCTTGATAATGCTTCTGGCTACCACATCAACAGATGTCGCTTGTATTAAGTCCAGAAAAAAACTAGTTGATTATAGACGAATGCAGGAGATATAAGAACATCGTGAGTCGGACGAGGCCACAGTGATCAATTGGATCAGAACGGGACGTAAAACAATATACAATTAATCAATTTGATCATTTTTGACTGGCCGTTTGACTGTCCATCTTGATTTACTATGGATTTGATATATTTTCTAAAAGTACAAGAGTTGTTGGCCTCTAGTTCTACATTGACCTACTTTAAAAATATCGATACCGGAATATTTTTAATCCAGAGGTATGGGCTTAAATTATTTTGATTTTCAACGCAAAATTTAATTTTTTAAAATATTAATGCTTGTGTTGGTTGAAAATCTACTTCCTCTGCATTTGATGAAATTCACCTCCTCATGAAGATCAACAGATAAGATGAGGGTATTTATAGAAGCCAGGTGACACTATCTTAGGATTACTGAATAAGTTAACCCGACTGGTTATTAATTTTTGTTAAAAGGTTTTTCTTAAACAATCAGAATCTACTAAACAACTAACTCATAACCGTAATTGTTGGCCAACATTTAAGAAAATGAGAGGATAACGAAGAGTAATCATGTTCAAAAGACCAATACAAGAATACATATTGATAGTAGATCAAACACGACCCTGAAAATATCAGAAGTGGAACAACGTGTTATTGTGGAGTCTTGTCGAGCGGGTCAATGCCTTGAATGGAGTAATCCATAGACAATTCATAATGAAAATAATGGCCAATCAACTTGTTTAAAAACGCCAGTTAACAAGACAGGTTGTATTTCAACAAAGGTCATTGTAATGAACAAAAAAATTTGCAAAATGTTGACTTTTGACGAGATTGCTGATACCATGTGTCATTAGCTTATTTGTCAGAAGCCGGACTTCTCTTGTTGGCGATGTATCTACTCAGTATTTCTGTACATGTATTTCCTTGAATGTTACAATCTTCATGAAATTCTGTTGGGTCGTAAAAAAACTCCTTCAAAGCGATCGCATGCCACATTTTTTGCTTCTTTTCTTTCCACAGAGCTGTTTATGAAACACTTTGCTCAGATGTGTTGCGTTTCCTGCATTTTATGCCTTGTACGCTCTCTCTTTTAGGTTTCTCCATTTATCAGCTCTAGCTCTTCTCTTTACTTCTTTGTCCTTTGCACTGTACTCCTCTTTCTTATTCTCTCTCAATTTGTTACTCCTATTTCTTCTTTCAATTTTCTTATTTCATCTTTGGTTTTGTATGTTTCTGAGGTGATTCAGTCTTTATGTTACTTTTTCTCCCTCGGAGTCCCTCCTAATTTTTTTCTGCTGTTTCGTTAAGCATTTCTTTCACATGGGTCCATTTTCTGTCAACTTACTGTAATTTCCTTTTCTGACAGTTGTTGGAATCTGTTACTAATTTCAAGTAGGGATCCAGTGCATTCTCTTGGTCGTTCAGCGTGCTGATATCATATATCTTCCTGCCATTTACTCTTGATTTCGTCTTCTTCAACCTAGTATATAAGTATAGCTTCAGCCTTACTTTGGTTGTTGTAATAGATGGTAAACGCGTTCCTTTCACACCCTTCAGAGCCCTTTCGCCTGTTTCTAAATGCCGTCATACTCAGTTCCCAATGAAGATAATCCTCGTCATGAATCTGGCATGTAGCACTAGCCTTTCCTACAGTAGTGTTAATTGTTGTAACGGTTTCCGTAATTTTATGTTTTTAAAGGCCTAGAATCCAGTTCCCATTTTCATGTCTGGAGGGGTAACATGTCAGTATTTACCAAACCAGGTTTATGATCAAATTTTCCTCTCCTAGATGAGTTGATGAGCCTCCCAGTGCGCCCTTGCGAAGTCAGCCTGTTGCCGTCTACTTCTACTTGGAGGCATCGCATATTACTTATTTCAGAGAGGCTATATACTGGCAAATGAAGACTAACATTTAGCTCTTCATTTCACATTTTTGCCAGCCAGTGTTGAGGACTGAAAGCGAGTGGTGGCAAGCACAGATACACAAACACATAGACGAAACAGACAGGCCAATGACAACTAAAAGGGGAAAATATTTAACCGCTTGCAGTATATCTCTAAATGTTGATAAACATTTTAAATCGTTTAAGTCTCTCTAAAAACAGCAGTTTGTTTCTATCTTGTATTTAGCACACACTTTCTACGTTCTAATCCAAGACCATTCAAAATAAGTGATGTACTAATCTATACTGGGGGAAAGTATTCATAAAATGTACATTATGGGTAAATTCAAATGTTGGCGTTGATCATAAATCATAATTACAATGTATGTCGATGTTGAAAATAAATTTATATGCTGGAGTTGATAGAGACTTAGTCCTGCTATACTTCACATTCTGTATATATGTTTCCTTCTTTTTACTCATTAGGTGCCTCGGGCCCAAAAACAACTAGTGTCTGCAATGGTACAAGAGGCGCTTCAGCGGGCCCTGCCGGGGACTGTGATTCCCCGGGAGACAGGTTTATACCGGCCCTGGTAATTGCCCAAATGATACACGGGGTGGGATTTTCTCCGATGTTTACCCTCGGACTGGTCTACATAGAGGAGAATGAAGACCCCTCTCTAGCAGCCGTCTACATAGGTATACAATGTTAAATTGATCAATCTTTAGTAAGACCTATGTGCATGAAATGAGATTTAAGTGTGAAATATTGAACACTGCGTTTTTAAAGTCAGCATTTTATTTAAGAAAAAATTTAAACACGCTAATGTTAATTTTTTATTTTTTTTTCTTTGATAATTTTCTCCTTTGATCAGGTACTTTAAATATTTAACAAAAAGCTGTTTATCTGTAAACAACTTTAATTTTCTAATCGTTTTAAAATTATTTAAATCTAAAACTTTTAAAATATATTAAAAATGTACCTTGATTTTTTAGATTTAATTTTGAATGTGGCATACCAGACTAGGGGCTCCAAATTGTTTGAAAATGTTCTTTAATCTAGTCTCAATTTACATTTTTAAGGACGTATAAAATATTTCTGTTTTAAGCAAATGATTTTGAGCAGCACTTATTATTTTATAAAAGTAATGTGGCCTTAACAGATTTACAGAAAACACTTTAAACATACACGCTTCTTCAATAGTATGAATTTCGTTATAATTTCTTATTTTGTTATGTCTTTAGAAAATGGGAAGAGGGGGTTAAATTTGATAAAGAAATAAATTTCCCAACAAGATGCTTCACTTACACGCCGGTATAATATACACTACGGGATATTAGTTCATGTATAATAAAATTAACTTGGCGATACTGGTACAAATCAAAACAATACTCAATTGAAAATAGCAGTCTTTTGAGTGGCACTTGTTATAGTAATATGAAGTAAGTTCTTGACAAATGCAATCTTTCTTTTAAACTTTTTATTCCTCTTTAATACCAAAATCTAACTATTCTTAATTCTTTCAGGACTGACGTACGCCGCTGCAGCCATTGGTGTTGCTGCCGGCTTCTTCGTTGGAGGCCAGATCCTGCAAAATATTTACGTCGACTTTGACAGAGTTGAGTAAGCATTGTCTCAGGAAGTTAAATAATATCTGCGTTTTCTCTGGAATATTCCATGTTGACATCAGTTTAGAAAAAAAATATCTGCTAAACAAAAGCATATAATTATTAATGGTATAAGAGGTCTTAAGAACAAGTAGACTTAACAGACTGTTTTGTTAACGCAAAATCGAATGCATAAATTTTACATTTTGATTCAAGTTTGCCAGTAGACTTTATCAACATACATCTTTTCTACATTTGACACTGGGAGTTTGAAATAGCACCATTTTCACACCTCCTAGTGTACAAAACGTAAAACATTTCAAGATTTTCTACAACTTAATTCATTGTTTTATAAAAGATTGTGTATGTAATTTCTTCCCGTTTCTACAAAGTTTAAAAGAAGTTAATTGCAAGTTGCTTTTTTTTTGTCTACAGTGTAGATTTTGATGCCAAAGATCCTCGGTGGGTCGGAGCATGGTGGTTTGGATTTATTTTTACCGCCATCTTATTCGTTTTGATCGCCATTCCTATTTCACTTTACCCCAAATCAATGCCAGGTATCATTCTTTTACTTGAATAAGATGTGGCTATATTATTTCATTAGTAGATTTTTCTACTGTTAATGGTGAGTTGACACTCTTATAGTCAGTGACTTTCCATTGTTCTTTTCATAGGAAGTAGAAAATACAAAGATGACAACAAGCCGAAAAACTCGGATGATGACAGACTGACACTGTGTCAACTGGCAGTAAAAGTTTTCAAACTATTCTTCAAGACTTTCCTGATATTGGTAGGTATAAACTTATTGTCCTGGTGGTTTAAAAATAGTACCACATTGAGGTTATGTTGATTTAGTATTCATTATTTTCTTTCTTTGAACAGCTAAAAAATCCTGTCTTCATGTTGTTGAATTTGGCTGGGAGTGCGCAGACTCTCATTATTGCAGGAGTAGGAGCATTCTCATTTAAATTCCTCACAGAGCAGTACAATCTGGACTTTGATACCTCAGGATATCTAATAGGTTATCTCTCTCTCTCTCTTTCTCTCTCTCGATTGGTCTCTGTTTGTCTGTCCGTTTTTTTCATCTACATGTATAACTTTAATACGTGACTAGAATTTTAAATGATATGACCAAAATTTCAGGAGGTCTGATATTGACTGGGTCATTTGGAATGTTTCTTGGTGGTCTTCTGGTAAAGCTCTTTAAGTTGGAGACGCTAGGAATGACCAGACTCTGTGCTTTATCAGCCTTCTTAGGCGGTATTTTCGGAATAGCCTTCTTAGCTGGCTGCCCGGAAGTTCAAATGGTAGGACTAGAAGTGTCTTACCCAGGACGCAGGTAAATTTTCAACACAGAGCCATACTGACATTTTGAAAGAGGGGAATTGTCTGGTTTGGTGGTTTTCAGCTTTATTACAAAATGATTTCTTTACAAACTCTGTGATTAATAACAGTTTGTACCTAATTAATTATCGAAAGTACATAAGAAGGATCAAGTAAAATTTAAAGTAAAAATACTTTGATTACTAGACTTCCTAATCAGTGAAAGCCAAGGGTTTTGTGGTCCTTCTTAGTAGGATAGATACAAAATCGCGATGAACCTTCCTCTGTTCTGACGTTTCTTCTGTTAATAGAACTAGGACAAAATTGTAGTCCATTTTAAAACTTACATGCGATTGTCCATTGCATTATGTAAAAATGAATATGATTGCAACATTCATAACAATACCTCAAGAATGCAAAAACAAACAAACAAACAAAAACCAACCAACCAAACAAAAAAGCTAATCAAACAAACAAGATGTATTTTTAATATCTTTTTTTTTTATTGTGAATACTAGTACGCAATTGGTAAAAAATAATTGTTATTCAATCTTTTTCCTTTTTCTGAATTCTTTCCACTTTCATTTTTCAAAGTTTTTCTATTTGTCCAGTACAATTGATGGTTATGCAGATGCTTGCCACGCAAACTGCGATTGTGAAAATCAGGGTTTTTCAACAGTTTGTGGAGCGGATCAAAGAGTTTATTATTCTCCTTGCCATGCTGGATGCAAGTCAAGTTTAGGAATGGGTCCTATGGTAAGTCTTTTTGACTTTTAAGAAATCCCTTTTAGCTTCGTAGTTATGGTAATTCTAAAAATTCAATTATTCTACTTTTTGTTCGACATATAGACGACTTATAGCAACTGTAGCTGTATAGAGGGCGCGGCGACAGCCAGGTCTGGACGATGTGAGGACAACTGTACCCAGCTTTCTGTTCTAGCTCCTTGTATGTTTATAGCCATGGTATCTGTTCTCACAGCGGTTACACCAACGTCAATGGCGACAATGCGGTAAAAAATAGTCTTATGATTAATGACAAGTGATCCAAACATCGTGGATCTCAGCGTTTTCTCCCCTTTTCAGCTTCTCGATAATATTGATTACATTCCACATGTTCGACCTCTTCTCCCAAAAAGCAAACCAACTTTGTTTAGTCATATATAGGTGGCATATGATACATTTTCTACTTAGGTTCATCTTAAAGTATTGTTGAACTATAAGGTGGTGCACTTTCGGGTGGGAATGTAATAGAATGCAGCCTTGATCCGCAAAAACTTGTACCAAATATTACACATTTCTTTCACATCTGGTAATTGATCACTGAATTGTCAATTTTCTTGCTCGGGTTAAACCAGAAACGTTTGATGATACATGTACTCTTAACCTGAAACACAAATACATGAACATTAAATGACTGTGTATAGTTATGTATTTATGCGGATCACAGGAATCAAGAAGGGCAAGTTAAGCCAGATGACATTTCTGTCCTGTGAACATCTTGTGAATTCTATGCTAGTATGTCTTAATTTAGTACGTCTCAATTTGAGTCAACTGGCTAGAAAAAACATGATTTTTTAAAGGGATAGTAAGATTATATGCATGTGTTTAAAAAAAATGCACTATTAATACTCTTTTTGGTTTGATTGTAGGTGTGTTGACGATCAAGATAAGCCATTTGCTCTCGGTATACAGTGGGTATTTGTGAGACTATTAGGTAAGTGATGAAAATATACTATACTACGTCTTCATAAGGTACTTTTTTCATGTTATTTGATTAGTCTGTGACTGCATAGAATACCATTTGGTCCACTTTGAATTTCTTCATACCTGAAAAAAGAAATTGATTAGAATATTTTCATGCAGCTGTTTATTTCTTGACTTAATAATGTTTTCCTACTCTATTGACAAGGTATGATTCCGGGCCCTGTTTTGGTTGGTTGGGTCCTGGACCAGTCCTGTTTGTTATGGTCTGGTGGTTCCTGTGGCTCCTCAGGCTCTTGTCTCCTGTACAGTCACGACAAGATGGCGGTGGGAGTCATGCTGTGGTGGGTGCTTGTGTCCTTGGTTGCATCTGTCCTTTTCTTTATTGCTTCAGTATGTGTTGTTTGTAGAAACTCTTCTAATTCTTTTGATCTAAAACCTGAAGCGTCATAGATGGCATTGCACATTATGTTTTTGTATACTGTTTACTACCATGTTTATAACTGTTTGATCGTATACTCCGCCAAATGCCTCTTTTGTGTTTTTTAGTGCTTCATTCTGTTTTACTTTTAAACTCCTAAAGAGGTATCTGGTCAATTTATCCACCATTGAAGTTTTAATTCACAGTACATGCAAAGGAGATTGTAAATGTTATTAATATTTTGTAAAAATTTATACTCTATCTTCGTGTTATTTTTGTTTTACCATTTAATTCATAGATTTCATAATTATGCTTCATTCAATGAATCAAAGATTTTATGGCACTTTTTACGTTTGATACTATTCCAGTTATTTTTTAGTGTTACAAAGATTTAGTCAGTTTTATTATGTATAGCAGTTTTAAATGTATATACACTTACTTTACAATATGCATTAACCCAGTGTGATTTACATAATTTCCAGAACTTTTACACCACAATTATGTATATTATTTACACAAATATAAATGCGTGTATTGCATTTTTTGAATGTTTTTTCACAATAATACTTAAGTCTTGAAATAAATAACTTTTTACGTACAATTTTTCATGATTTTATCTTTTTTTCCCTTTTTTCCACTTTATTTTGTATTATCATATAATTATTTACCTTTCTACGAATCCTTCTCGTCGCCCGCGTGGCGCAGTGGTTAGAGCGTCTGCTCTAGAGTCGCGAAGTAAGGAGTTAATCCTTACGTCGCGGGTTCGAATCCCACTGTTGGACGTGGAGACCCGTCCTTCGGATGAGACCGTGTAAACCGAGATCCCGTGTCGCAGTAGGTGCTGGCACGAAAAAGACCCCTCACTGCTCAATGGCCGTAAGTGCCGAGTAAAGGACAAAATTGCAGCTCTCCACCGGCAAGTGGTGGCGTCTCCATATGAGTGAAAAATTCTCGAGAGGGACGTTAAACAACATACAAACAAACAAACAAACGAATCCTTCTCAGGTTAATATTATATTCAGGTGACCGTTAAGGCCATTGGACCTCTTGTTCAATTTATTTAATCTTAGTTTTATTTGTAAAAGTTATGTATTTGCATCCATCCATTCAGATGTTAAACCTGAATGCGCTACATTTTTGTCATAACATTACGAATAGAAGAATGATGAAATAATGGACGGAAATACCGATAAAACAGATTTCACCAAAAAAAAAAATGCTTAGATTACATATTATATAATATAGATGATACTGACAACCAAAAATAAACAGTATTTGGGAAAATTATAAAGTGATTCAAATTACTTAGAAAATCTTTACAAGGCTCTTTTGATGCTGGTAACTGCAATTATATGTTGTAATGAATTAATTTTATCAAGGGGTTATGGAAGAATCGATGATGCAATAAAAGCTTGCCACTGCAGAATACACATGTTCGTAGAAATGTGCTCCAAGTGCTTTTGGGCAAAAATATGACAAAATCAGAATAGATGATTCCACACATAAGTATTTTGAGATTGATATGAAAAGAATGCTGGATTTCCTCATAAACAACATTTATGTAGTCTCTGGAGACCAGGTCTTCCAACAGTCTGACAATCTGTTGGAAATGCGATGGGCTTTAATTGTGCTCCTTTATTAGCCGACCTTTTTTTTATATTCCCATGAAGCAAAATTTATTCAAAATCTTCCACATGAGAAGAAGAAAACACTTGCTGTGGCCTTCAACTCAACATTCAGGTATTTTTTATGCCCCGCCATGAATATGGCCGGGGCATATAGTGTTTGTCATGTCCGTCCTCAGTCCTTCCGTCTGTCTTCCCGTCGCGTTTTGCGTTTAGCTCTGTTCAAAGCTCAGTTTCAAAGAAACTATCCAAGATATTTTTATCAAACTTCATATATTGATACATACTGATGTAAGGTATTAAACTGCATCAACATTTTTTGATCTTGACCTTTCCTTTGACCTTGACCTCACTTTTCTTAAATTAGTGTTTAGCTCAGTTTTAATGAATTCATTCAAGATATTTTTATCAAACTTCATAGGCTGATACATACTGATGAGAGCTATTCAACTGCATCAATATTTTTTTTTACTTTGACCTTGACCTCACTTTTCTTAAATTAGTGTTTAGCTCAGTTTTAAAGAAACCATTCAATGTAGTGTTATCAAACTTCATATGCTGATACATACTGATGAGAGCTATTCAACATTTTTTTTTAACCTTGACCTTTCCTTTGACCTTGACCTCACTTTTCTTAAATTAGTGTCAAACTTCATATGCTGATACATACTGATGAAAGCTTTTCAACTGCATCAATATTTTTTGACCTTGACCTTTCCTTTGACATTGACTTCACTTTTCTCAATTTGTGTTTAACTCAGTTTTAAACAAACCATTCATAATATTTTTATCAAACTTAATATGCTAATACATACTGATGTAACCTTTTAAACTGCATCAACATTTTTTTACCTTGACTTTTCCTTTGATCTTAACTTCATATATTTTAAATTAGTGTTTAGCTCAGTTTTGGAAAAACCATTCAAAATATTTTTATCAAACTTAATATGCTGATACGTATTTGTGAAAAACTATTCAACGGCATCAAAAACTTTTGACCTTGAACTTTCCTGTGACCTTGACCTCACTTTTCTTAAATTTGCATTTTGCTTAATTTTAAAGAAACCATTTAAGATATATTTATGTAAGCTTATGCACTTGTACATAATTTGGTGAGAATTTATCATCTATATCAAACTTATTACATTTCAATTTCAATTTTAAAGAAACTATTCAAGGTATTCTCATCAAATTTCATACACTAATACAAATTTTCATGTTGTATTACTAATTTACCCTCGGCGGGGCATTCATGTCCTAACATATTTCTAGTTTTTTTTTAATTGACAATACGATGGTCGCTCAATTCGTAATGCAAAAATTTGTCTAAAAAGAAGAAAAACATAGGAAGCAGTTTTCAAAAATATTTTTCATCCCTCAAAGCATTCCCTGTTGACCTTTACACATATTTAAAGCAAGGTTCTCCGCCATTTAGAATTTTAATGTGTCGCAAACTTTACAAGATGCGCAAATATTTGTGGTATTCGCAGCAATCAAATTCACACAATTTTTTTTTTGTTTTACTAGTTTGAATCACAATTGCTATGACTGTGCATATTAATTAAAAATAAATAAATGGATATTTAAAATCAATTTCAAAGTATCCAATATAATAAAGTTATGAACATACAATTACATAAACGATCTTATCTGTACCCCCCTCCCTTCCCAACATACCCATAACTTTAAAAGAAATAAACATATCTAGGATTTAAACAAACAACGTATATAATATATTTGTATCAATATCTACAAGTTGTAATTGTTAACCCCTCATACTTTCAAAAAGCATTTAGAGGGGTAGAATGAGAACAGCTATCAACATGAATATTCATTGTATTTCTCTGTTTTTTATTGAATTATTCATAAAAATGATAAAGTCTTAAAGTTACAGAGTTAATGTGCTAAAATTTAGTTTGATTTCAATAGTTTTAATAAATTAGATTGTCTTTATGAAAAAGAGTTGTATAAATTATCTCGTTAAGGCATGTTTTTGTGAAGTTGGCATTCAATATATCTTATTCTTGCTTCTGTAGCTTTCCGTATTTTGTTCCAAGGCCTCTGTTTAAGTGACTCTTGAAAAGACTGCAATGCTCCATACAAGTCCCCAACAACCTGTTGACAGATTCCCAGTATCTGCCAGGATATATCTCTTTGAGTAAGAGGAACATATCTCCCATTGTCATATAGGAGCAGCGTTTTTAAGTCGCTCAGTGACTGTAGATACTGAGATCTGTTTCCTAGTCTGTAGTTAGATAACACGGACAACATTTCAACTATAAGAAATGGTGACACAATTAAAATGACCCCTCCATTCTGCTCGGATATTTGTTGTTCAAAGATCAATTCCTGAATAAACGGGACACGTAAACCAAATTGCAGATTTCCTGCCCAGGCTTTTTTCATTCGTCTAGAGAGAGACAGACTGTATACAACTTCATATATGTGTCGGTCAATGAGGCTAAAATATATGACATAGGGTTGTGAAAGCCTTTTTCTAATGATATTATTTAAGTGTCTTGCAACATTATACCTATCCATTCTATAGTGATACAAAGCTAAATACAGTGAATCCGATACAGAACCTATGTTTCCTGCCAATTTCAGCATGTTACAAAGAGTTCTATCTAAAGCATACAAGTCCTTCTGAGTGCAACAGGAAGAATTATTTGCCCTATGGAATGCAATGTTAACAAGAGTTTGAGCTGTACAGCACTGTACGGTAAGTATTTGACATGGTGAAAATGAAAATTGTAAAAAGAATTCTATTAATTTCAAGTATAGATAATATGTATTTAGTTCGTTGGTTTCAAACGAGAAAGACAATATCTCACCCGCGACACGCATATCTATTTCTTCAGCAGTCTGTAAATGTCCATAGACAGAAGGTATTATACATATGACGGGATTCTAAGAGCTGGCTCCAAAAATGATCTCAAAGTCCGACTAAGTAGAAGACAAGACAACCCCATTTGATAATACTCATTAAGTTGTTCGAATAATCGGTCACGTTCATCACCAATTACTTTATTGGCAAACATGTTATTTTCAGGAATAAAAAAATTAGGTAACGCACTATGATAAACACAATGTATAAGATATTTAAAACACTTCCATGTGCAATGCAGTAAATGTTTGGGGTGCCATTGAATAGATCCCGACTGTATTACCCAGAACATAGTAGTTTTTATGTGATATGAACACAGTAATGGTCGTACGATGCTTTGACTGATAACTTCCTTCAGAAATATTTTCAGAAGCCCATAACATAAAAATTGGGCATGATTCATGGTGTTCACTAATTTTTGTTCTGCCCGAGAAAACGATAATCTCCACTCTAATTCATAATGAGAAGATGGAATATTACTTCCGATAGGAACACAGTGATAGCAATTCTTCAGAATTTCTTCAAGAACGTATACTGGAGGCCAGGTGTAATTTAGTGAACGCTCAATCCAATAACTTGCTCTTTTTGGCCAATCTATACTAGTCAAACAAAGAACAAATCAAATTCAATATCTCTAAAATAGCCGGATGAACATGGACCATGACCGTCTACATTTTAAAATGCTTTGATGCCTTTATTCACTTGCAACCATTTTTCTCTCCATACCAAACTCGAAAGATAATCTGTGTCATTAAAGGAGACACGTGCTAATGTGATGATATCGTGCCTTGGTGGTGTTCAAATTTGCAATCTTACAAATCCAGGTGGATTATCATTGTCTTCTATCAAGAAAATTGTATGTTTTGATGCATCGTAGACGTTTAACTGAGACATTTCGCTTATCACTTTATTATTTATACTCTAG